ATGTTTTTTAGATGTAAAACTAATTTATTATAATTATAATCTATTTACATTAAACATTTATAATTTTTTTAAAATTCTTTACGTTTTGCTTCCTTGTTGGTTCTGTCTGACTAAAACAATGTTCGACCCAGTAAGCGGTTCTGAAGCAGTAGACCTGCTGCTCGCGTCTTTATTTCTATTCCTTCATCCTGAACCTTTTTGCTGCTCAACAAATAACTTTGAGCCTCAGTCAGAAAAAACTGGAGGGTTTTTATACTTTTGGCTCGAGAGGAGGAAACAAATGGTGGATTTAGGTGGTTTCTGCTATATTCAGCTATTTGCTGCAATTTTAGCTAATGTTCAGCTGTTATTAGCTAAAGTTGGCTTTATTAAGCTAAAAACATGTTTTAGTACCTACTACAAACTTGTGCTACTTTTGCTTCCTTATGCTAATTAAAGAATTTCCAGCTGCTTTTAAGTGTTTTACTGAAAATTTCGTCGGTTTTAGATATGTTAATTCAAAATGTCACTTTTGTGTATTTTTAACMATTTTTTCTGCTAATTTTAATATTTTTTTCCAGCCCTTTTTTCTATCTGGGTGCTAATTTTAAATTGTGGCTACTATGTTATGCTAAGTTTATGTTAGTTTTTACTATTTTAAGTTAACAATTTTTATGCATTTTTTTCTGCTAATTTTTCACTTCCACTATTTTCACTATTTTCATTTAACTTTTGGCTGTTATGTTTAGCTTTTTTATACTAATTTGAACTTTTTTTGCTGTTTTAGCTATAGATCTGCTTCTTTTTGCTATTTTTTTTTTGCTTTTTCTACTTTTTTTCTGCTAATCTGTGATGCTTTCTGTTATATTTAGTTATTTTAGCTTTTAGTTTTTTCTGCTATTTCAGCTATACTTTTGTTTCTTTTGACTGTTTTTCTGCAAAGTTAAGTTTTTTTTTGCTTATTTCAGTTTGAACTCACATTAACTCTTTTCTTTGAACATGTGATGATCTCAAATTAAACTTGTGGCCTGAAATACATTCTTTCAAGAAATGCTGTGTTATTTTTTGTATTTTCAATGGGAGATGCTATCCAGTTCTTGTTTGATGTTGACATTTATCTTTTAGTGATGTTTCTGTAAGAAATACGTGTTTAATATCGGCTGAAGTCAGATGAAAACACAAGTGTTAAATAAATTGATCTGTGATAGGAATAAAGGTCATACAACACCAGAATTCTGGACCTGAGTGAGGTTTATTTGTCACCGGGCTGACAAGGAAAACCACACTGAATGAAAAACAGGAAGTKCATGTTTTTATACACGATTCTTCAATGCCTGAGTTCGCCCCCTACTGACCTACGGCTGAATCACAGGCATTCATACAAAAGTCTCAATCTAATGGTTTAAAACAGTTCACTTATGTGTTGTTATAATTCGGACATGTATCTACTCTATTTCAATTAACACATAATAGATCACACATTATACAAGTATTACAAAAAGGAAACCCTAATACTCTGGTGTTGTTTTCTAACATCAGTACTAATCTATAGATAACTATAAATTTCTTCAGTTTAATGTTAGTTTTAACTGTTTTGAATCAAGGATTGAATACTGTCTGTCGGTCGGTCAGCCTGACTGTGGAAAACATTACTCAAAAACTTGTGGGCGGATTGTCATGACATTTACAACGCATGTGGATACCGGYACAAGTAACACACCATTAAATTTTGGTGATGTTCCSGATCACGATGCGGATACAGGAATTTTTTTTCTTTTAATCATCTCAGATCGGCAAAGCTGTGATGCTTTCACAGGGCTTCTGTAAAAAAACAGTGACAGCTTTCAGTGTTTGGACTTCAAACTTTATAAAAGTAATGTTAAAACCAGATGTAATGATGAATAATTCTTGCCATAATGGGCACATTTTTACACATTTGGTGCGCATTTAGAGAAAGTTTTGTGTCCACGAAGTGCGTGACTGCACCATGAAACCTATTTTTCCCATTTACTCAAACCAAACACACCACATTGCCGGTAGGCTTGTACACAGATCGATGAAGACTGAGGAAGAGTGACGCGGTGGACTTCAGACTCGGAGGTTGTTTGTTTGTTTGTTCATTTTTATTATTATTTAAATGAGGCCAGATCAAGTCGAGAGCTCTTTGTGCGCCCCTCTATCCACCTCTTGCCAAAGTTTGGGGGAAAAAAGAAAGCGCATAGCATGGTTGTGACTGCTGTGTGTGGTCCTCACAAAGATAGAAAGATGCGTGTGTGTCTGTGTCATTAGACGCGTGATGAAAACTCTGCTTTTTTGAATCACGTAGCACAGATACGAAAGCTTTAAACAATAACGTCAAGTGAGGAGTCTGAATTTTTTCCTTTTTTCCACATTGGACTCCACCAGGAAGAAATTCTGTGCAAACTGCTGCTTAAATGTTCGCTATGTCAGAACTTTTTCAGCAAATGTGTTTCCATCTCTGCTTTTGTGCAATAACTCTATTACAGGAAGGGGGAAGTTTGACTTGGYGGAGGTTTGCACTCTCCGAGTGCTTCTAGTTTCACTTATTTTTTTATTATTGCATTTTAGACAATTTTCATTCCTTACACAGTGATTCCTTTATTGTGTGATGTAAACTTACCRGAGTGGATAAACATGTGCTTGCTGTAGTTCTTTCTGGAACGTAAAGATTTGCCACAGTGAGTGCAGTCAAAAGAGGTCTCAGATCCCTGGGAGGAGGGAGAGGGCCCTGCAGAACATGAGGGTGTGGAGGGAGGTGGGGCAGGGGTCATTGACGCTGGGRGCGGAGCCTGCTGACTTGGCTCTGTTCCTGCCATGTTGTCAATCCCTCCCATGGGCCCTCCCACATAAAATGGAGCCGGCTGTGAGTGGCTTACTGGGTACTGGAACAGAAGCTGTGGAGGAACACAATACATCATGACGTGGTCATTATACACCTCACAGGTCCACAAGTAAATAAATCTGAAGCCGGGTTCCCACCAAACGCGYTTTGAGCAGCAAAAATGCGCCCAACACCTCAAGCTTAACAGAGCTGAGCCAAGTCATACCGTGCTGTAGAGGCACTAGTGGAAATGGGGCATAAACACTACTGACATGAGGCACTTACCTGGTTGTTGATGGACTGTGAGGTGGGAGGTGGAGTCATTGGCTTGTTGACCCTTCCCCTGGGATTAAAAGCCATTGCTTGAGGAGGTTCACTCTGAGGCCAGAAACTCTCTGAAAACACTCCTTGTTCATCATAGAAATCCTGAAAGCCACATTAAAAACATATACACATTAAGACAATATTGGCTACAGTTCTAGTGATAGTTGCATTTGGCTTCTTGATTAAATACATACATTAATTTTAACTGAATTATACACACTGCATGGAAAGTAGGGGTGTAAGAAAATATCGATACACTGAAATTTCGCGATATTCCATTTCCTGATACTGTATCGATATTCTAAAGCCCTGTAT